GGGGTGGGGGCGGGACCGCTACAGATTGGAATGGGCAACGGGGTGGGGGTACCGAGGCCGGGGTAACACGGCGCTGCACATCAGGGCCGCTGGCAGAAATGGGACCCATTGTCCTCTAGCCCTCAATGCCTCTCGGCCACTCATTGGCCACACAGCTGCTGCGCTCTCAACTGGCCCGTTGGCCGCCTTCACCACCGGCTCTCGAGCCGCCTGGCACACCTGCAGCGAGAAACAGAGGTCTGCGGCGGTGGCCTCCCCACTGGCCAGCAGCCGTGACACCTCTGCCTCAGCAAACGTAAGCAGACCTGTGTGCAGGTGTGGTGGGGCGGTTCCGCCTTGATTCAGATCGGCGGTCATCTTGCGATGCAAACAAGCACCGGGCAGCGTCAACTGTATGGCGGTGGATGAACCATCCCGGTACGAGAGAATCCTGAGGCCGGCAGATGGTCACACCCTGCTGCATACGCGGCCGTCCCCAGCGGTCGCAGCGCCACCCACCACTGAACGACACATCCATCCCCTTCACCACATAGGGCAAGTCCACCAACTTGGTTCCCTTTCGTAGTGATTGATAAGCAGGTCGGGGTGAAGCCACCGGGCACGAGTTTGTGCATCACCAGGAAGTAGAACGATGTTTGAGCGAGGGGAGACGCGCACCACCACAATGAAGGCCAAGGGACGCCCATCCAACGCTCCACACGGGATGCCGCCGCTCCCCACCTGCAACCTCACCCCCAGGGTACCTGCTTTGCAAGCTGTTCGATGTTGTAGCCGGGGCTGGGGTCGTTGGACAGCCCGAGCAGCCGCGCAAAGCGGTCCAGGCAGTTCCCCACCTGTGATGGGGGAGGTGAGGCGGCGCAGCTTCTGATGGCATCGCGCGTCCCGCAGCAGGGGCGCGGCAGAGAGAGCAAAGCACCACTGGTGACGTGACGGCAGGACTCCGCCGGTCCTCCCATCCCAGCACCCCGTGACCACGAGTCAAGTCCCAACCCAGGCTTTGCCTCCAACCATGCACAGCAGCTTAGAACCACTCCTGACCCAGGGTGATGCACTGGCCAGCCGGCTAGCGACTCCCCAAACCTCTGGTCTGCACAACCGGCCGCGAGCAGGCGTCTCACCGCCATGTCTATGGTCTCCCCAAATATCCTGTAGCGCTGATGTGAGTAAGCTATCACCTGGCAGGGTGTTGGCAATTGAGGAGAGGTGGCGGGGGCGTGAATGGGCACGGAGAGGTGAACTGCGTTCAGGGTAGGCATCAGGAAAAAGAGGTGTAGCAGCTCTCTTGCCCCCCACTTGATCCCCTGGAACCCACAACGCAACGCTAGGCAGCGGGTCCCCATCCAGCCCCCACCTGTGTGTTGCCGCCGCTAACATAGAGCACCACCGGGTCGACAGCCCCCGTGACGGCGCGGCCCATCTCAATGTGGCCTGAGACAGGGCCATGCACAGGGGTGTTGGGGGGCTCGTTCGAATATGAGGGGGTGTGCATGCGGCATCTGGTGCAGCGTGGCAAGCGCAGCCATCTGCAAACAAGGCATGCAAGCAACGAGGCGAAATCGCTCAAGAGGGGTGTCAAGCATGGCCATGGCAGAGCTGCGTGGGTCGCGGCCTTGTCACACCCCAGGCTGCAAGGGGGGCCAGGTGTGCTCACCCACGCAGTGGTTGACACCCACGAGCGGCACCCCCCAAAGGAGCGACAGCATACGTGCCGCCACAGCGCACGCCACCAGGGGCCCGCCCATCCCCGGGCCCTGACAGAACCAGGCAGGGCACCATTGGGAGTAGCGGGTTGGAGGAGAGCCCAGGTGCGAGGTGTGTCGGGGCCTCATGCGCGTGTGCCGCCCACAGTGCCCCTTGCCATGCCCCTGACCGCGGCCTGCGCCACCCAATTACTAGCGCCCTCCTATGTTCGCAGTCTGTCCACCAATCACCACAATAATTCCCCCTCTGCGCTTCACCGCCCCGCCCTGCGCTCCCAGCAGTGCTTCCTGCCCGCCCCGCGACTTGGCTGACAAGGCATTTGTCCGGCTGCCCGTACCAACCTTGGTATAAGCTATGACATCCACCTCTTGCTGCGAGATGCCCGCCTCCTTCAAAGCCTGCTCCACCAGGGGCAACACCCACTCCTAGGCACGCGGACGTTGGGTTGGTTTGCAAAGCAGCAAGATGGTGAAAGCTTCAATGCAGGCTGTCAGGAAGGTGGACTCAGCAAGGCCCCACGGCGGTTGTAACGAGACACCTCCGGCTCCCCGTGCCGTCGACTAGATCACGCAGCGGCGGAGACACGTGCTGCTGCAATGAGATCAGCATCAGGATCGACTGCTGCTGTCACGACCAAGCGTGCTGCGACACGGGGCTCATCTGCACGACCAGCGCCCGGCAGGAGCGGATGGAGTCTGCTGTAGAATGCTGCTGACCTGGTGGTGAAGAGCCGTCTCGCGGGGCAGGAATCCCGTGCCAGGGGGCGTGATGTACCTGTGCGGTGGTGTGTGGCGGAGGAGAGGGGGCCGAGACGGCAGGGGCTTCGCTTTTGTGATTCTACGCCTGCAGTTGCGCGAGCGCCACCCACGCACATCCCTGCCATGATTCATGTCGATCGCTTGAATCTGCATTTGCACACGCAGCCCAGGCTGCATCAGCTGAGCACATGCAGCTGTGCCGTCATTGGCCATGCTTGCAGCACTGCAGTTGAGCAGCAGCATCACCGGCTCAGCTACCCGTGCAGTCGCCGCTTGGGCGTCTGCGCTCACGTATGGCGAGGGTTCGACAGGATTGTCGCGTCATCTAACACTACTCCGACACCGCATTTATTAGCGGAGCCTTCGATCCCCAACGCCACAAGCCGCCCATCCTTCATCCTCCTGTGTGATCTACCGCGCTGTTTCTATATAGGCGTAGAGAGACGCTGCAACAAGAGGAGTTGGTTTTTGCTATCTATGGTATTTCGCTTGCATCCTTCTTATAGGTGTCACCGGACAGCGGCCGCGAGTGACTCTGACTTGCTGCTGCTGCTCAATCCAGCCAACTTCATCAGCGTCACACGGCCTACTGCACTGCAGAGCAGTGAGCTTTGCAGATTTTTGAACACGCTTGGTGTTCTAACACCGTACTCTTGCAGAGCATTGGGGACTGGTTTTCTTGGATTATGGGGGCTTGGAATGACGCTCAGGTGGCAAGATGGCTCACAAACGAAACATACGGCGCTCAAGGTAAATCTCCGCTCGTTACATCTTTCAGTTAGAAGACGGGCCTTGTCATAACACAGGCCACATCACACTGCAGTGTGGACTCTTTTGCTCGCCTGCACCAAGGTGATGCCCGGCTGGCATAGGAACTCGTCCCCTGCAACAACTCAGTGCCATAGTGCTGCTGGTTTGTAGAATTTTGGATTGTTGCAACACTTATGTGGTAATAATGTGTTTTGTGCTGACCAGCAGCAGTGGCAGCGACATGATGCGCCGCCATGAGTCAATAACACAAGAGGGGGTGGGCTTCGGAAGCACAGCAAAGTTTGCGCGCACTACGTGCTTGCTGAGCACCCTGGCGCGGCCTACCATAGCACCATTGTGACTGGTCGAGTCGATCATGTTTCACGCAAACCCAACAAGTTGCCGTTTGGTTTCTGCAAAGTTTGGCGGCGTTCACATGCCCTGCGTGCGCGGCCCGGACAAAGTGCCTGTGGCTGTGTCATTTTTCATGTTCTGTGTTTTTGCTTGGAGGAGCGATAATCTCCATGCAGCACACTTTCTTGGCAAGCTATATCATAAACGTGAAATTTTCACCTCAGTTGTTGTCCTGATCGCGTTCCTGATCGCGCAGGAGATTGAAGCCGATCTCAAATTGGCGCGATTTCCGGGCTAAGATCTATGGCGGAGGCGGCGTTCCTCACCACGCCAGACTCTGGTGCTGCGAGCGTTCTGGCTCGCCTGGCTGCGAAGGAGGAGGCGCGCCGGGCGGAGCGCGCGCAGCGGCAGCAGGAGTCGGCGGCGCTGTCTGATCCCCGGGAGGACGTTGACCACCACTTGTCAGCCTTCAATAAAGAGCACGCAGCTCTCGCCGCACGTGCTACCGCCGCGGCGGCGGCAGCCGCCGAGCTGGCTAGCCCATCACCCCGGCCAGACCTGCAACAGGAACAACAGCAGGGAGATCCGCAGCAGCATCGTGCCGCCCTGCAGCAGGAGCTGGAAGATATCTTGGCCGGTGTTGCTGACCTAGAGCAGTCCACATCGGCAGCATCCTACTACCTTCCCAGCTATGATTTGAAGCAAGCAGCAGCAGCGCTGGGTGACGTCAGGGCAGCCATTGAAACCACGCGCACTGCACTTGCACCGCGCCGCAAGTTTGCATTCAGCCGCCGGCCAGCTGCTGGCACTGCAGCGATCAACACCAGCGTGGCAGAGGCCGCGGTGTCCCCGGTGGATCAGCGACTACCCCTTGACCAGCAGGGTGGGCAGCAGCAGCAGCAGCAGCAGCTGCAGCAGCAGCAGCAGCCGAGTGCCTATGACCTGGACCTCATCGCCTCTGGTCACGGCCTTCGGGGTCTACACGGCGCCATCATTGTGCGCAATGCAGACGACCTGGGCGGCCGCGAGTTTGTGCTGTTTGACCTGGAGGGCTGCGACGTGTTCCTGCTGGGGGAGATGCGGGCGCTGCGCGCAGCGCGCCTGACGCGCTGCCGCGTGTACGCGGGCCTGGTCCGCGGCGCAGCCTTTGTCGACAGCGCTGACGGCTGCACGCTTGCTATTGCGGCACAGCAGGTGAGGTTGCGGCACCGAGGCAGCTGGCATGCAAAAAGTCAGGGTGTTGTTTTGCTGCTGCAACAGCTAAACGCTCTGTAGGCGCCAAGGCGCTGTGGCTTCGGGCTTCGACAACCAGTGCGGCACGTCGTGGCCATTCAGCCTGATTGCGTGGTGTCAGTGGCCTTATGGAAGGCAAGTCAGCCGCCTTGAGCCTCTTGGCCCAGCTGCGCTCAAGCGTGCCCCTCGTCCTCTTGCACCCTCCCGCTACACCGCCACCAATGCTGATCCTGCATCGATTGGCCAACCTGTTGTTAGTGACCCACTAATCAAGCACACTCTCACCATCCGCGGTTCTGCAAACACTTTTGACTGGCAGGTGCGTGTCCACCACACAACCTCATGCGACCTGTACCTGCGCGCCGGCAGCCGCCCCATCATAGAGGCCTGTGCAGGCCTGCGGTTTGCGCCACTCACCGACGCTGACCTGGCGAACCTCAGGCTGCAGGGCGCCCTCACGGCTGCCGCGAGGCTGGGAGAGGGTGACGGCGGCGGTGATGCAGGCCAGGAGCTTTGGCGGGCGGTGGACGACTTTGGTTGGGTCAAGGCCACCCAGTCTCCCAACTGGGCCGTCCTGCCAGAGGGCGAGCGTGCCGCAGCGCCAGTCCCGCCCCCCGCACGTACCTTGGATGAGTGTGCAGCCGACAACGTGCTCATCAGCCCTGCGGCAGCGGCGGCGGTCGCAGCTGCGGTTGTGGCGGGGGGCACGGTTGCAGCGGCAAAAGGGGCACATGAATGACGCCGGCCATTTGCCGAGTCGGTGCAGGCGTTTGCCTGGCGCCATCGCCTCCTGCGTGGCCCACACGTCGCCTCATAAATCAGAGGCGCACCCCTTTGATGTGTGACGCCCAGTGCTGCTGGTGGTGCGTCCCTGCGCCAGGCGCAGGGGCGCAGGGCGGTGAGGCGGCTACACCTGCCTTGACACCATTGCGGAGCCAGGAGGGAAGCTGCGGCTGCCACCCCCGCAATTCAACTGCCAAACACGCATTGCGACCTATGCGTGCATATACACCACAGTTGTTCGCTGTTCGCATGCACCCTCAACATGCCACAAACAAGCTGGCTTTTGACCCGTGCGATTGCATCGCGCGCACACATCGGGGTGCACATGCCATGTGGGCTTTCCACATGGCACCCCCAAGAGCGGCACGGAGGTTGGTCACCGGGCGCCTCCTATGCGGTTGGTTGGATATGGAAGCGCAGCCCGCCCTGGTCATCATTGCACAGCAGCATGCGTCCATCAAGCACATGGTGTCTGAGTTTCCAGGGTAATCATGTATTGTCAGTGACAAGGCGGGAGGGAAGCTAGGGCCGACAACATGGTGCTGGCTGGGTGCATTGATGGCCGAGGCAAGCTTGAATCCAACGGACGAGCCAGCATGTGACTATGTGGTGCTTGCGTTGCCAGTGGTTTCAATATTACGGCGGCACTAGTTCACTCGACCCTCGCTGCTCGCGTGGAGCGCTGCTAACCGGCGACCACGGCAGTGTCAAGGTCAGCTGCCGCAAGTCTTTGTGACGCATGGGCTTTGTGTGTAGACGTTCCCTCCATTTCGTTCGCTCTTCACACAAATTTATGATTCTTCACTTGGAAGCCCTGCACAGCCTCCCACACGGACACAGCTAGGTGGCAAGACTTGAATGGCACGCTAGCCATCTCTGACCCGCAACGGCGGCAAGCTCATTTCGGCCACAGCTTTGGCTGTGACTAAACAGCAAGCTAGACAGCGTCGACCGGGGCCGCGGCATGGAGCCAGACCCCCCGTTCAGCTTTGACAGATGGGGAGCGCCTGTAACCATGCAGATGGGAGAGAAGGTATGCTGGTAGCAGTCAACACTTGTTGCGCCAGGGGGCGCCCAGCACAACAGGGGGACAGCCGGAGGGCACAGCTGGTCGAGGCAGCCTGCAGGGTGTCTCGGCTGTCCTGGCTGCCTGCTTGCACTCCAAGCACATCTGCGACTTAGGGTTGACGCCTGGAGACGTGCTCCACCTGGCCAGGGCTGGGGCTCACCGAGAACCAGTAAAAGTGGACCTGATCTCAAGGCTTCTCCCGTCTCGTCCGGCACGCAGGTACTGGCGGAGTACATCTACATAGTCGATCCTGCCCTGGGCGAGCTCCAGAGCAAGACGGTGGTGCTTGAGGGCGGACGGCCGCAGAGCAGCGATGAGCTGCCGCCGGTGGAGTTGCAGACAGAGTGCGGCGAGCTCTATCTGCAGCCGCGGTCGATCTACTCCGACCCGTTGCGGGGTGGGGAGCACATACTGGTTATCTGCGACGCTCACGTGCCGCCGCAGGTGCGAGCGCTCAGCGTTGCAACGCTGAAAGCGGATGACAAGCGACGGCAAAATCATCGCCGGTCATTCAGCGTTGGGTGCTGCTCGTGCTGCATGCTTCCCATGCCTGTAGAGCATTTGCGTCATCAATGGCACTTGCGGCACTCAGCAGATACAAGGCCCGCTGCCGGCACAGCTGATGCACTCTCCCTCGCCCCTGCTGGCCTTGTGACATACCCCCTCGCGCACGCCTCCCGCAGCTGGGCACTGGCGATCTGCACTCGCGGCCACACGACGCCAACTCACGTGCGGCATGTGCAGAGGTCATGGCAGCTGTGGCGGGGGCATGCCCTGTATTTAGCATGGAGCAGGAGTACACAGTGCTCGACCCATTCACTGGCCTGCCGCCCGGCGTGTTCGCCGCGGGGGTGCCCATCTACGTGCCGGGCGCCGGCGGCGGCGGGGGCAGCTGGCCAGCCGCGAGCCATCACAGTTACGAGAGCGAGTCGCCCTGGGGCAGCCCCTGCGATGGCACGGTGCCGCTGGCGAGCGGCAGCCCTGGCAGCGGTGGGTCGTGCGGCGGCGCGCTCGCCGCGTCACTCTCGGCGCTGCCCGGCGGCGCCGCAGCGGCTGCACGGCTGCTGCTGCAGGCGCACGCACAGCCGCAGCACCCACGTGGCTCGCCGGCCGCGCGGCGTGCGCGGCAGCTGTCTGAGCTGCACATGCGCGCCTGCATCAAGGCCGGCCTGCGCTACGCGGGCTCTGCCTGTGCTGCCTCGTGCTGCGACTGCTGGACCTACCGCATTGGCCCCTGTGCGGGCGGCCTGGAGGCGGGCGACCAGCTCTGCGTGTCACGGTTCCTGCTGCGGCGCCTGGGGGAGGAGCTCTCAGTGGACGTTGGCCTGAAGCCACGCCCTTGCAGCGCGCAGCACGGCAGCACGGCTCCGGGGCTCCACGCCGCCGCCGCCGCCGCCGCGTGTCACGGCGGCCCCGGCGGCTGCAGCACCGAGTTCAGCACCGCCGCGAGCCGCGCCGCGCCCGATGGCATCTGCGAGATGCAGCGCATGATATCGCGCCTCCAGGCTGCCCACCCACGGCACTCGCCGGGCTTTGCCGGCGCGGCCACTGCTGCAAGCGGGTCTGCAGCGTCGTCGTTCTCAGTGGCTGTCGGCGACCGGCGTGCGGCGATCGTAATCCCCACCAGCGCGCTCGTTTCGAGGTCGGGGGCGTTTGTGGACCGTCGCCCGGCCGGGGACTGCGACCCCTACCTTTCCACCGCCCTGCTGGCGGCCGGCGCGCTAGGCCTGCCACTGCCGCCACTTGCCGAAAAGCTGCTCGCCATGCGCCAGCCGCCCTCGGCTCACAGCCGTGCCTCAGCGCTGCTCATGTTCAAGCCGGCGCACGCAGCGCCCACCTGCGGCGCCACTCCCGGCGGTGACAGCCTGCGTGCCGCTGCCGCGCTCAACGCTGCGGCGGCGGCAGCGCGGCAGCAGCCAGCAGCCTTTGGCGCTGCGGCCCAGCCGCTGTCCCTCCAGCATGACCGCTCGGCATCTTTTAGGGGCAGCTTTGGCGGAATCCCCTTTGGTGGCGCCGGGGTCCCTTGCACCGCAGCCTCCCCTGCCATGGTCAGGTGGGCCAGCGGCGGCCCCGCCCCGCGCGTCGAAGACGCCATGGCCTGCTGCGATAACGACGAAGGTGACGTCAGCGGTGCGGACGATGACTTCAGCGAGGAGGGCGAGGCCAGCGAGGAGATGCTAATCTCAGAGATCTGTCGCATCGACCGCCAAGCCGCACGGCGCGGACGACCCGGCAAGCTTGTGCGCTGCGGCGAGAGCGGGGCTGGGTTGGGCGCTGAGGGGGGCGCGCGCTCCGAGGACGACGGCGACGAGGATTTTGACGAGTCCGAGGGCGAGGAGGAGGACAGCGCGTCGTCGCTGGCCGCGGGCGTGCGGCCGTTGGCGCTGCCTGCCGCGTGACGCCGGGCGGAGCCTTCACCCGCCGGGCCGCATTTGCTGGGTTTTGAGGGGCGCGCGTGTCGTGGATGGGGTCAAGGGGGTGCCACCAGCGGCCTGACAGGAGCTGGCCTGCGCCATGAATCCCTTGCCGCATGAAGAATTTCGGCGCCCATGTCGCCTTCATGCGCGGTCCAGCTCACACGTGTTGCTGTGCACCCCCGAGCTTCACGGTTGTGGGCCCCTGCTCTCTCAAGAAAGACGCACGCACTGCCCGCCTGCTGGCGCCTGTCGACGCCAGATGCACATCCGTGTGGCCGCACTGCCGCCTGCACACGTCCGCAACATCAGCACTGCCGCCTGTCGCCATGCCCAGCGTGCATGCCTGGGCCCTTGAAGCTGCCCGCAGAGAACGGTGTGCGCCTAACGCCAGCGATGGCGGGCCGCGTCGGAGGGCTCTGATGAGGCGGGACGGATGTTGACATTCGCCTTTCTGGTAGAACCGCTTGAGACGCTCCGCAGTGCGTCTTTGCAGCAGGCTGCCAATCACGCCTTGCCGCCCTGTCTTGTGGCACGCCTGAGAGGGGACAAGCTTGCCGCGGCTGTACCTGCCGGCCTTGCCACCCAGGGACGCCGGGCTGCGCCCCAGGCGGGGGGCCGAGCTCGTGCTCTGACCGGCGGACACGTTCCTCGCAACACGCGCTGCACAACCATATTTGCCAGGAGAGTAGGGGAGGTGGACGCCCCGCGTCTCCCTCCAGCAGGCGGGTCTGTCCACACTTAGCCCGGCGTGTGCACAGCACTTGCTCCCCATAGCTGAGGAGAGGGCAGGGCGCCAAGGCTGCGGGCACGCGGCTTGCCCGCGCACGGCCCCCCTACTCCCAGCACACACACAATCATTTGCATAGCACACCGCCATAAGACCTGCTGTTGTCCGTCGGCCTCACTGGTTGCGCGTGTTGCGTAAATCCAGTCACAGCACTTGTGTTGACCGCAGCGGCTGGCCCGCCCCTGCTCACATGGTTTGGGTGGTCATTTGCCCTTGGTGATTCTTGAGTTTGCCGGCGTACGCGTCGTCCTGTGCCGCCACTGTTCCGGTCATGCGTGATGGCGCGTTGCCGCAGCCACCTGCGCCCCCACCCCTGCCAGGATGGTGCCAGGGCGACACCCCTCTTTCTCATGTGCGCGTTGTCTGGGGTTGTAGCTCATGCGTGTGCGCACACATCTGGTTTGGTGGTGTTGCTGGGTGTGTGGGTCGGTGGGTGCGGGTTTGTGCGCAATCGTGTGTTTCTTCCGTCGATTCTCATGTCATGGGGTGTCCGCTCAGCCAGGACGTCATGCCGCGCCCTTTGGGACCTTCTTCGTCCCCACCTGCTGCAAAGTCGCCTCGTATGGGGGGCAAACACGCACCCCCCATTGCAGCCGTGATCGCACACTACCCCTGGCCCCACACAGGCAAGCAGCTGGCTTTGGCTGGCAGTTGCTTGCGGCTGTTCGCCTGTGCTGTGCCCCTGCGCGGTGTGGGTGCGCCTTGCCCCCGGAATGCTTACATGAAAAGGCTCTGATTGCGCCTGCCTGCGCATGTTGCTTTTGCGTTGCTTATGCTAGAAATCAATGCCTACGCGGTGCTGCCGCGCGGGCGTATGGACGCCATTTGTGCTTGGCACTTGCTGGCAGGCTGGCGTGTGAGTGAGCGCGAGCGCGCGAGCGCAACTATGAATTTCCAATGCGTTCAACGGCCAAGGCTGCCCCGTGCAGGGTGCTTGAGCCACTTTGCATTAGCCAGCGCGTATGCCGACGCATGCGCAGCTACTAGGGGTGCGGGGTGCACCCCGCCCGCAGCCCCCGGCGCCCTGTTGAAGGCGGGACACGCTGTGCCAGGGCCTTAGGAGCCTGCTGGCCCGGGATCTGCCCACGTTGCCTGCCACGTGACAGGCACGTGCCTCTCAAGGCAGTCGCCTTGGGGTGACCCAGCGCGGCGGTGTGGTCTTGGCGCACCAGGGCCGGATGCGCGCCTGCCATCAGTACAGCGGCGCTGCACCCTGCCCACCACGCCTTGATGCATTTCGCTTGCTTTGATACGAACAAGAGGGTGGCAGGCACGCCCTTGCGTGCGGCGCTTGTGCATATGCTAATGCCGCCCCCAATGCCCGACCCATGGTTGCAGTCACCCACGCACTGGGGGGCGAGGTCCCGCGCATAGCGCGCCACACCCTTCTCAGCCGCGGCCCTATTCGGCTGTGCGCACAAGTGCGGCGAGATGTGCTCGCCTCCGGCAGCAGTCACACGTCGGCCAGCGCGCTGCGTTCCTGCACGTTGATGCGCGGTGCCTGAAATTTTTCAGGGTCACTTGCCTGTTAGTACGCGCCCCCCGCCTGCCTCTGTGCCCTATTCGTACATGGTAAGGGGAGCGGCCATTATCTTTTTGCATGATTGAGCCTGGAATGGTATTGAAAACCACCCACAGCACACGCTAGCTTGCACGCCTGCGCCTGTAACTGAATGTAACGGGATCATTGGCAGCGTGCCTCGCGGTCCAAGGGTCATACAGAAGGGACCAAGGATGCCAGGCTGGGTGGAGCCAGAGCACATGCGCCTGCCTGGCCGTCAGTGCGGTGACGCAGCCGCTGCGCTGTTAAGCCGCTGTGGTGGTTCGTGGTCAGCCGCGCTGTTTGCTCGTGCCAGGCGCAGGCGCCCCACCGACCCACTCGAAACACTACCGCCGCGGGGTTCGACCAGACCGCGGTTGCGGGGCCTGTGGGAGGAGGGGACGGCTCTCCTGGGATAGCCTCACCGAGGTTGTCAATCGGCAGCAGGCGCAACGGTGGGCGCGCCCCCCGCTAAGCTGGAGCACGGCGGTATCGACCTCTCCCCGTCGGACTGCTACCGAGCCGCGGCAGGCACAAACACCTGGGCCTGCAACATCTGTGCCATGGCCGATGGTCTGGTCTGCCGTCGCACGCATGCCTGGCCGCGCACAAATGCACCGTGAGGTTTACACCAGTTGGCAAATACGCTGCGCCCTGTCCGAGGCTGGTGCCTGTCTGAGGCTGGCGCATGGCCGAGCCTTGCGCAGCCTGTCAGTCTGGCTTGGGCCGCGCCGCATTCATCACCGACGCCCCTGGCTGCTGCTGCTGCTGCTCCTGCGAGTGATCCCGGTCATGGTGGTGCCGCTGCCTGGGCTTCTGGCCGCCTCCTGCGCTGCCGCCGCCACCCCGTGGTCCATCTGCCCTGGCAGCCGCGGCCTGCGCTGCGCGGCGCTCCAGGTCAGCCAGGTAGCGCCGCGAGAAGAACTCTGGAGC